AAGTGGTTCCACTTCTAGGTATATATATATATATATATATATAGATTGACGACCAGGATAATGATTAGTTGCATTGGGGATAAAATTTCTAAGATTGCCTGTTTTCTGTTCTGGTACTGAAATTGACAATTCAATTAAGTTGTACATCAATTAATAATAACTTATATAAATATTTTGACTTTCTATTATTTTACACTGTAATAATTATTGTACGGGATAATAAAATTGAATTTAAAATTTAGTGAAAAAATGATATATTAACAATTATTTTACCAATCTAATACAAAAAATTAAATTTCTTTATAAAAAGCATTAATTAAGAAAACATTCATATGAAAAACATTAACTTTTGTATTCTAGTTTTAACAATAAATTGTATTAGCAATTGCATTAAGTGACATTACATCTTTATTAATACTTAGAGGTGGAAGAAGTCACTCGAAGTTCAAGATTCATATTCCTAAATTACATATTTGTGACATTCATTCAAAGAGTAAACTTGCTTATTTATTAAAATTAATAAAGTTGATATTATGAGATGCAACTCTAATGATAGATAATTTTTTTTTTGAGATACTTGATAAAATTGTAATAGACATCATGCCAGTAGATCATGATAATACTTCAATATTAAAAAGAAATATCATTGTCTTTAGTGGAGACTTTAGACAAATTTTATCAACCATACCATGATAATTCACTTAGATATGATATTGTTCATGCAACAATTTAATGTTTCTTATATTTGGTATCGTTGTCACGCATGAATTCTTACAAAAAAAAATGTGTTTACAAAATAACATAGACAACTACTACAAGAAATGTTAAACATAGTGACATACAAAAAGTATTATTATAAAAATATTATATTTATGTATAAATTAATTTGACATATACTCATATATAATTTTAGTATTAGTTTTAAATGAGTTTCAACAACTACAACCTATATGCCAACACTTTTAACAATTATGAAAAATATTTACTAACACATGCTAACATATATTATAGGTAAAAATAATTTTTAGCGACAAACATTATGTCATTATAGGATGTGAGTCACTACAAAACAACTTTTTGTAGTAAGCATAAGTGTTTTGGAACTCAATCAATTTTCATAATCAATATTAAATACTGGAAGTGAAAAAATATCTAAACTAAATGATGGTTATGTTTGCATTGATATTTCACAAGAGTTTTTAATAATATACTTTGATGATTTCGCAACTAACATTGTTTATAGTACATAACCGAACTTAATTCAACAAAAAAAAAGTATATTTTGACATCCACCAAGACCATTAATCATATTAGTTATTATGTTTTGTTTTTTACCCTAGGTATTTTATTAAATATATTAATTGAATGCAAACTTGATATTAACACTATATATATATTTTTAGTTTTTACTAGTTATATTAATTTAGATTATTTCACGTGATGAAAAGAAATGTCAAAGTTCGCATTCAATTGACAAGTAAAAAACATAGACAATCAAATTAACATTTGAAACCCTTCCAAGTAAATTCTTAACACTTTGAGAACATCTAATATTTCTAATTATAAAATAAAACTAGACGTGTCACTCAATAATATTGTTAAAAAATTTATATCAATCTAAAGAGTTATATGAATAATTAATACAAGGTTAGTAGTCATAAAATTTAGAGATAATACTTAGTGAGATGGTCTTTGATTTAACTATATAATAGATACGCATGAGGGGAAAAAAGGCACTATATAATATATTGTGAAAGTTTTTCTTTTATGTCGATGTAAAATAATTGCGCATAGGAAATAAAGGTCAATTAATTTTTTTTATTTTTTTTTTGGTTATTTTAATATTTTTATTAGTATTTTAATTCGTGAACCTTAATTCACATGAGTTGCTTAGATATTAAGAGTTCATTTGACACTTCTATATGAAGTATTATATCTATCAAAAGTATAAATTGGAGATGAAATAATTATAAAAAGTATAATAGTGTCAAAAAAGTGGAGACTAAAAATAAACTATACAATTGATATACCTTTTATATATAGTAGTACAATATAGAAGATGAAAAGATGCATATTGTATATATCTCTATATATTTGTTCAAAAAAGAAAATAACAAAAATTATTAAAAGATAATGATGGTGATTTTATTTTGTGAAAAAAAAAAGAATTATTCAATAATAATTGTTATTATAAAAAGATAATATACAATTACTACAAAAGTCTTTAGTTATAATGATAAATAGAGATAAAAATAAAAATATTTTATACGATAAATAAGTTAAAGGATAAATGAGTTTTTAAAAAAAGTGAAAATCAAATAATTATATAGCATTTATATATAGTTTAAATTATTATGATAATATATTTATGTTTATTTAAATTTTTTTTTTCTATTTTTCACTTCTATTACTTATTTGTTTAAGCAAAACAAATTTTCATAACAAATGGTATGAATTTTACAATAAAAATTGTAATACTTATTAAAAATAAATGTCTAAAAAAGCTATATTAAAAAAACAATACATAAATTAATAATGATGTCGCCCGGACATATGCATGGGTTACTTAATAGTTGTTGAACAAAGTAGAATTAATTCAAACAATTTTTTTAATCTTTAAAAAAGGCATAAAAACATGGAGTAATTATTTTACCCTAATCTATAATAAATAGGTTAAATTATATTTTTATTTCTTTATCTTATTTTTAAGATTTATTTTGAACTTTTATCTTTTAAAATATTCATTTTAGTTCTTAATTTCTTAAATTTGAGTTGATTTGATCCTTTCAAAATAAAGATTATTTTCAATTTTGAAACATGATTTTGAATCCTTATTTTATTTATTCAAGACTTCAAACTTGGATCATTAAATTTACTTATATGAAAAATTTTGAATCCAACTGAAATTTAAACAAAAAAAATGTCATAAACACAATTAAAATTGCATAAAAATAAGTCAAAAAAGTAATTGATAATTCAAAAGAAATATACTTTCAAATTATTTTCTAGCTAGTTATCCTGAGATTTATTTTTCACATGATTTTCATTATGCTAATTTGTAGTCATCTTAGATTCGGGCATCAGTTGAATTTTTATGTTTTCATAAAAGTAAATTTAATGTTACAAATTTTACATTTTAAATTAGTCAAAATTTAATTCAAAAAATATGTTATAAAATTAAAAATTATTATCATTTTAAAGTGACCAAATTGATCTAAAACTAAAAAACTAAAATAAATATTTTAATAGGTAAAAGATATATATATATATATATATATATATATATATATATAATTTAATCTAATAAATATTTAGCTCATAAATTACGAAGGATAAAATACTAGTTACTCTCTATTCCTATCTATTATTTAATATACTAGACGAGAGCTTGTTACTATGTATTATATAAACGTCTAAATCAATTTAAAATCATGATAACAAAAAACAAATAAGTTATATAGTAATTTAGAATATTCGCCCTTTATCTACTATATATATTTTTACATAAATCAATTTAAAATCGTGATAATTAACAAACAACAAATCGAAGATAAAGTAATCTTTAATATTCGGTCTTTATCTGCTTTATTTAGGATAAATATCAGTAAAGATTTGTCAACTTTTGGTTATAAAATAGTGATTGCCACAAGTCGTTGTGTTGTTTGTTGCCTTTGAAATCCGAAACCACACCACAACATGGCACTGCCATTCTTGTGTGACGAACTCATGGTTGAAATTCTGTCATGGCTTCCAGTGAGATCTCTTATGCAATGCAGATGCGTGAGCAAGTCGTTTCAATCCCTCATCTCTGATCCAAGTTTCGTGAAACTGCACCTTCATAGATCACCCAAGAACACCAACTTCCTAATACGGTACAGAAATCGGAAACATGACTTTGCCCTTCCTTGCTCTCTTCGTTCTTTGCTAGAGGATCCTCTTTCTGACATTGCCCTAAGGCAAGAACACAAGTACAAGGTTGCTGGTTCCTGCAATGGGTTGGTCCTTTTGTTCGCTTTATCTAACACCTCTTCTGCACGCACATACAAGTTTCTCTTATGGAACCCTGCCATTAGAAAAACATGTGAAGTCCCACATTGTATAATTCCAATCAATCCAAACAGATATGACTTCATAAAATGGTTTGGGTTTGGGTATGACAACCTAAGTGATACATACAAGGTTGTAATTGTCTTTGAGCATTCTATGGCTGGTTCACAGAAACTCAGTGAGGTCAAAGTTTGCAACCTAGGTGACAATAATTGTTGGAGAAAGATTCAAAGTCTCCCTCCTTATGATGATTTAAATCGAAGTCAAAATTGTTGTGGAGTATATCTAAATGGTACTCTTAATTGGATAGTCACAACACATTATGTATCTAGTGAACTGGTTCTTATTTCACTTGATCTTGGGAGCGAGACGTACACACAATTTTTGCTGCCTCGCATGTTTGAAGGATACGACTTTCGGCTTTTGCATTTGAAGGATTGTTTGAGTCTTTCTTTTGTCAATTCCAACAGAAACAGATTTTGCATTTGGCAAATGAAGGAGTTTGGGAATCAGAATTCTTGGACTCCGTTACTGAACTTGTCTTTACGCCAAGATCTCCAAATTAGTTCTAAGTATTTGTCCTTTGTGCAACCGTTGTGCATGTTTGAGAATGGTTGTCTACTCGTGATTAGCACTACAACTCTTCAAGCAATTCTTTATGATGGGAGAGATAATACAGTAAAACATAGTAAACTTACCAACAAGATATTTCAGGTCTACGCTATGAATTATGTTCAAAGTTTGGTTTTGCCAAGAACATATTAATTAGGTGATAGATCCTCAATTTCTTTTTCTTTTTCTTTTTTCTTTTCATTTTACCATCTCTTACTTGGTATGATGGCATATTTTAATAATTCAATTTTTATTTTTAGTCTTAGATATGTTCTTTATTCTCTTTCTATTCTACATTGAGGTACTATGAGAGATTAAAAGTTGAAATTAATCTTGGAGGAGGATTCTCTCCCTTTAGGTTAATTATTTTCCTTTGTTTTATGAATTTTAGTATTATGTTAGGTTATTTATCTATCATGTCTTACTAGTCTTTTATTTTAGAGTTATGATATAATTGTTTCTCATAAATTTTCAATAATGAATTAGATGAATCTTTTTGACTAATTATAATATTATTTTAGTGTTTTTTGTTTTTATCTCAATTAATTGAAAATGTATGATGAAATTTTTTTGATTAATAAAATCTTAAAATAATTGAATTTTTAAAATTTATATGATTAAACTTATTTTCTTATTTTTTTTAATTGAATTAATTTGTTACTGCATTTCTATGCTTTGTTTTATAATAAATTTCTTACAATCTATTTGACTTCTTTCTAAAGTAAAGACGACTTCCTAGATTAAAGATTGTTGACAATTTAAAAAATTGATAATTTCATAAGTAACCTGGTGGTAATGTTTTAGAATTTGTGAAATTTATATAGGAAAAAAACGTTACTCAAAAGCGTTAGTAATCTTTTGCATATGTCCGATTTGCAGGACTTAACGGTAAATGTGACCTTATACATTATCTGCCTTATTCACAATTTTACAGTTTTTAGCCAAACTCGGCTGAACTACTCCTTTAACGTGATTGCATGTTGACTTGGGATCTAACTAGCACTACAAGAAAATTATTATCCGGTGCATGTATCATTAAAAATTATTTTTATCTACATAATAAATATAATATGTTGGTATATTATTAAAAAGTGTGGATATAAGTTATAGTGACATAAAAAATATATTATTAAATTTCATTCAAAATCAACACTAAAATTATATGTAATTATATGTTAAATAGATGGATACTTACATATATTGTACCTATAATAACACATTTTATATGTCATTATATATAACATTTCTTGTAGTGTAGATTATTGATGTTGTTAATTAATTAATACCAATTTTCATTTTCAATTATTTCAAGACTGAGAAATGGTCTAGGTAGTAACCATGGATTTCCGTATCTCATATATCAATAATGAGATTATGCTAAACACTTCCAATAAAATTGAGGACGTTGTAAATTTGGTCGCTACAAACCATTCATATTTGGCCTCTTAAGGATTTTATTTCACAATACTTAACTTTTTAGCATGTTTTGTCCTTAATTACACAATTTTTGAAAACTTCCCAAAAGGTTACCCATCCCTATATTACTCCAAGTCAAGCACATTTACTGTGAAGTTCTGATGAGATAAGCTACCGAAAAGCAGATGTATGTTGTTAGTATAAGTAGTACAAATTAATTCATTTAAGTCATCATCAACTATTCAATCCCATACTTATATTATCTTTGGATCCTTATCATTTTGGTGTATCCAGACCGTTATAAATATATAATAATTATATTATTAATAATAATTATATTATATTTAATTAATCTTTATTTATATATATACTTACTTTTATAATTAACAATCTACTTATTTCTATTTAAAATTAATTTTATGATACAATTTAAATTATTTATTATAAATTTAAAAGTTTAAGTAATAATTTATATATTTTAAAATGAGAAGGGTTATAATAACACTGGTATAACTTTTACTAAGTATTACACCGTTTTATATTAAATGTTACCTTGTTGTGAACTCTTCCCTTACCAAGTTGCCGACCTCGGCCAAAGGTCTATTGACCTGACTAAAACATCAAATTTGAGAGCTCCTCAAAAGCCCCTTTGCTCTTACATTACTCGGTGCTTGGGGGCAAGTGTACTGGCCTAACCAAGTTGTGAACTCGTCCCTTACCAAGTTACCCAACTCGGTCAAAGGTTTACCAACCTGACCAAGCAGTAAACTCATTACTACCGAGCTCCTCAGCTCGACCATGAAACATAGACATCAGAACATCACATCGGCCCAAAGAGACCACATCATCAGATAAATAAAAATACAATCTTGTCACCACGCCGCAATCACGAGGTAAAATCCTAAAATTGCCAATGTGCCGGTAGATAGTAAAAACCCTAAAATCACCAAGGTACGTCTACTATATATACGAGACATCTACATTATCAAGTACTAACTTTAGCATCGGAGTCTCTTTTGTAGGTACCACCCCCACCTTAGAGCGGACAGCCTACGAACCAGTACGGAGACTCACCAATCTCATCGGAGAGATCGTCACCGATCCAATCTCAAGTGAGAACACAAATTAAAAAAAATGTGATATTACTAACTGTACTAGCCAGCCGAATTGCCGACTTGTCCCTCACCAAGCTTCCTACTCGGTCAAAGGTTTACCAGCCTGACCAAGCAGTAAACTCATTATTGCCGAGTTCCTCAGCTTGGCCATGAAACATGGACATCGGAACACCACATCGGCCCAAAGAGGCCACATCATCAAACAAATAAAAATATAATTTTGTCACCGTGCCACAATCACAAGGTAAAACCTTAAAAATGCCAATGTGCCGGTAGACAGTAAAAATCCTAATATCACCAAGGTACGTCTGCTATATATACGAGACGTTTACACTATCAAACACTAACTTTAACATCGGAGTCTTTTTTGCAGGTACCACCCCTATCTTGGAGCGGACAACCTGCGAACCAGTGGAGGCTCACCAATCTCATCAGAGAGATCGTCACCGATCCAATCTCAGGTGAGAACATCTTGGCGCCCACCGTGGGGCCGAAAAGAATTCCTTTCTTTCGGCCAATCTTATGTTTTCTACCTGAAGCCATAATATAAGAGTAACAGACAACGCAACTAAGAACGTGCCAAGGATGGAAGGAGATGCGACAATTCGACGTTTGATCTAGCAGATCGAACAGATGCGACGATAAAGTAGAGAAGCCCTTGAAGCTATGCGTGCCCAGCACCAAGCTGACCTGGCGGCTCTACACACAAAAAACGAGCACATTCGTGCCCAATTTCACCAACAACCCCCAACCAACCTCCTCAGCAGAACAATCACCATGAGGAGGAACACCAATCACCCCCACCGCCGCCGATGTCACAGCGATCACATGCATCGACACATCACTCTAGTCACAAGGTTAGCCATGCAACCACCCAAGCTTTCCCACATTGGTCGGGTGTCAGACGCCATCCTTTCGTCGACAGCATCATGGATACACCTCTCCCCTTAGGTTGGAAGTCTTTGAACATCGACTGTTATGATGGCTCGTCCGATTTAGATGAGCACATTGATGCATACGTCACACAGATGAACCTGTACACTAATGAAGACACCCTAATGTGTCGGGTTTTCCCAACCTCGTTGAAAGGCCCAACATTCACTTGGTACACTCAATTTCCAACAAGATCGATCGATAATTTTGAGACCTTGATGAGATAATTCATAGCATAATACGCGACGAGTCGACCTCATCACATCACATTTGTCGCCCTAGCAAACCTCAAGCAGGACGAGAACGAGTCGTTAAGAAAATTCATGGAGCGATTCGCCAATACATCCATCCAGATACATAACCTCAATCCTGAAGTTGCCTTGCACTCCATGCTCATGGCATTGAAGCCAGGACCTTTCATCGACAGCCTTTGTCGATGACCTCCTCCCGACATGGAAAAGCTCCGAGCTCACGCTGCTGGATACATTCAGATGGAGGAGCATGCCGAGTTTCGCGAGGCAATTCACGACAAACCACAAGGAAAGCAAGACCAAGGTCAGGCCACGAACATTTAGAGTTGGCGACCTTGTCTGGCAATTACGGGGAGAAGCAAGAATAGACCCCTCCGAAGGGAAATTCACAGCTAACTAGGAAGGACCATTCATAGTCACCGAGGACCTCAACAATGGTGCATATCGGCTGGAGGAACTAGGCGGCAAAGCTCTCCCAAGAACTTGGAATGCCACCCACCTCAAATTTTATTTCTCTTAAATTGTAATTTCAGGTGATGTACTATTTTTCCTTGTCAGCCTTTTTTCCCACTGAAAGAAAGAAAATGATTTTTGGTCGAGGAAGGTTTTAACGAGGCACACCCAAGAAATATTAATAAAATAACTTTATTCCCACATACTTTTAGTATTGGAACACTGGCGTTTAAAATCACGATAACCTACCAAGGTCGAGTTCAAACCTTCAAGTGCCAAGGTCGAGTCCGAACCTTGAGACTACATTTTCTTAGTCAAGGTCGAGTTAGAACCTTGACGAGCCAAGGTAGAGTCCGAACCTTGAGATTACATTTTCTTAGCCAAAGTCGAGTTCGAACCTTGATGTGCCAAGGTTAAGTCTGAACCTTGAGATCACATTTTCTTACCCAAGGTCGAGTTCGAACCTTGATATGCCAAGGTCGAGTTCAAACCTTGAGATTACATTTTCTTAGCCAAGGTCAAGTTCGAACCTTAATGAGCCAAGGTCGAGTCCGAACCTTGAGATTTCATTTTCTTAGCCAAGGTCAAGTTCGAACCTTGATGTGCCAAGGTCGAGTCCGAACCTTGAGATCACACTTTCTTAGCCAAGGTCGAGTTCAAACCTTGATGTACCAAGGTCGAGTTCAAACCTTGATGTACCAAGGTCGAGTATGAACCTTGAGATCACATTTTATTAGCAAAGGTCGAGTTCGAACCTTGATGAGCCAACCTTGAGATTACATTTTC